TATATATAATAAAAATGTAAACTTATTAAATGGTAGGAGACTTAGTTTTATAAAGTTTATTATTGAAAGGCTTAGTTTTAGACAGTTATTTAAAATGATTTTTTTGTTTTTATTTTATGTGTATGAAGTGTTTTGCCTGCATGTATTAAGTGTACCTGTGTTAATGCAGTGCATGAGGAGGACAGAAGAGGGCATCAGGTCTTGTGAAACTGAAGTTACAGAAAGTTGCTAGCCATTGTCTTGTGGGTGCTGAGAACCAAACCTGGGTCCTTTGTAAGAGCAGCTTAACTTCTGAGTCATCTTTTCAGCCTCCCTTAAAAAATAAAAAAAAAAAAAAATTTGTGGGGCTGGAGAAATGGTTCAGTGGTTAAGAACACTGACTGTTCTTGCAGAAGACCTGGGTTCGAATCCCATGGCAGCTAACAACTGTCCATAACTCCAGTCCCAGGGGATCCATCAGCCTCTTCTGACCTCTGCGGACATTTTCGACATGGGTGCACTTACCTACATGCAGGCGTGACACTCATACATATAAAATAAAAATAATAAATAAAATATTTACAAAAAGAAAGTTTATTATTTTTAAGTGTTTGCATATATTGCCTGCATGTGTGTAAATGCACTCCGTCATGCAATGCTGGTGGTGGTCAGAAGAGAGCATTGAATCCCCTGGAACTGGAGTATAGATGGTTGATGGTTGTTAGCCTCTATGTGGGTGTTGGGAATCAAACCCCGGATTCTCTGCAAGAGCAGTCAGTGCTCTTAACTGCTGAATCATATCTCCAGCCCCTAAAATTTTTTTTAGCTCAAGTAAGTTTTACAGTACCTTGAAACTTATTCCAATTATGTCCTAATCTATGATTCTAATCGATAGTTTTCAAAGTTGTCAGAAGCACTTAAAATTTTAGAAAAAATTCACTTGTCTAGAATCAGAAATACTAGTCATACAATTTTCTAATTGACTGACAAACTGCATTTTTACTATTTTTCTCATAAAAAAATTGATCCTAGTACAATTAAAAACTAGTGTAATCTCCTGGTTATTTATTTTTTCTTTTTTTATGCTCAAGGGCAATTTTTTTTAGCATTTAAAAGGGAAACCCCAGGGCAGACAAACTAAATCTCAGCAGCTACCTAGAGGAGGAAAATGGAGGTCGGCCATGAGGTAGCCACACGATGGGGAACGGTCTTTAGAGAAAGATAAGGAAGCCCAAAGGGTTAGGGAAAGCATGCTAAGAAGAACATAGGTAAAAAAAATCTGTGGTTTCACTTGCCAAAGTTTTACTGAGCTAAACTCAACTCCTGTTTTAAAATTATTAAATGAGTAATTCAGAAATAAACGATTCTTTTTAAAATATATTTCATTTATTATCTTTATTTTATGTGTATGAGTGTATTGCCTGCATGCAGGTGTGTGTACCCGTGTTGTGCAATGCCCACGGAAGACAGAAGAGGCTGTTGGATCCCCTGGAACTGGAGTTATCAACAGTTGTTAGCTACCATGTGGGTGCTGGGATTCGAACCTGGGTCTTCTGCAAGAACAACCAGTGTTTCTCTCCAGTCCCAGAAATAAACAATTCTTAAATTTAAATTTCAAGTCATTCTGCATAGCATGATGAAATCTTGTCCAGACCTCAAGATACGAGCCATACCTTGTTTAGTATAACCAGGCTGTACTGGGGTATGTGTAGGAAAAAACACTAAGGACAGGGTTTGGTACCATCTACAACTTTGGGAAACCACTTGGAGGGGTGACTCCTTATTTCTGTTTTCAAATTACAAATGCATATGTTTATTTTATTTATTTTTAAAATCTTATTTAAAATGCATGTTTATGTGACAGTGATGCATTTAAAAAGTAGAACATACATTGAATAAAATTTATAATAATAAAAATACATGAGTTGTTAAGCTTTTGGAATTTAAAATAAATGAATATGTTTCCAATTAATAATAACACATTAAAGAAAATAGACTGTCACTTTAATGATAATTTCCAACATTTGCTTTATTAGAACACTTTTATATTAGTCATTAACGAGTCCTTATACTCACAAAGTTTTCATACTCTGCAGCAGGTGAATACTGGTTACAGAACTGTTGGGAAGTAATTTGTGTGAGTTTAAGAGTTATGAAGCACAGGAAGCCTCTGGCTTGCTCGCTCGCTCAAGGTTACCTAGCTGAGAACAAAGGTGACAGATGCCCTGTGCCTGGGTGGTGTCTTCTGAGCCCCAAACACTACTTTTCTAGTGCACTCAGTGCCAGAGAATTTCTTGTGCATAATTCTTTTTTTCTGTCTTGAGTTTTAAAGGAAAAAGAAAAATCTATTTTATTGATTGTATGTTCAGTTTGATTATTGTTTGTCTTTTTGAGACAAGCTCTCTGTAGCCCCAGCTGGCCTGGAACTTGCTAGGTAGACCAGGCTGGCCTTGATCTCACAGAGATCCACCTGCCTCTGCCTCCTGAGTGCTGGGATTAAAGGCGTGTGTCACCATGCCCGGCTTATAGCAATTTATTTTTTTTATTATAATAAATATTAAATATTTCAATATTAATATTTTAATAATAAATAAAAATTTAAAATTTTATTTTATAGTGACAAAAGAGAATAAATTACAAAATTGAAGAAATTAACAGGGCCAGTCCAGATCAGCTGGGACTACAGGGAGACCCTGCATCAAAAAAATCTCCCCAAAACCCACAACATGTCTTAGCTGTGCCATTTTCATCACAGCTCTATCAGCACTATCATGTTGATTCTTACTTACTGGTTTTGCCTATGAAATGTTTATATATATATTTTAAATTTTATTATTTTTACTTTATGTATATGCATGTATTGCCTGCATGTAGGTAAATACACCCGTGTCATGCAATGCCCGCAGAGGTTAGAAGAGGCTGATGGATCCCCTGGAACTGGAGTTACAGACAGTTGTTAGCTGCCATGTGGACACTGGGATTCGAACCCAGGTCTTCTGCAAGAACAGCCAGTGTTCTTAGCCATTTCTCCAGCCCCGATGTTTGTAGTTTTAAAAAATATTTTATTTATTTTTTTGTTTATTAGTTATTTTTTTATTTTTTATTTTTTTGATCTTTCTGAGACAGGGTCTCCCTTTAACCCCAGCTGGCCTGGAACTCACTGTGTAGACCAGGCTGGCCTCAAACTCACAGAGATCCACCTGCCTCTGCCTCCCAAGTGCTGGATTTAAGGTGTGTGCCACCACATCTGGCCTTTATTTATTATTTTTATTTTGTGTGTTTAAGTGCCTTGCCTCCACCTATGTCATGCAATGCCCATGGAGGTCTGAAGAGAGTGTCGGATTCCCTGAAATGGGATGGTTGTTGGCAGCCATGTGGGTGCTGGGAATCAAACCCAGGTACTCTGGATGAATAGCCAGTGCTCCTAACCACTGAGCAATCTCTCCAGCCCCCTAAAATGTTTGTAGTTACTTTTGATTTCTAGCAAAGGTAAAGTTATTTCTATATACTTTTTAACAATCTATAGATCCTATCTACTTTCGTGTGTGTTTTTTTTTTTTTTTTTTGAAGTACAGGGAAGAATAATACCCTAGAACTTAAAAAATAAATTGTATGTATGTATTCATGTTTGTGTCTATGTAGCTACATGTGCTTGGCCATGCATGTGGAGGCCAGAAGACAACCTCAGTGTCGTTCCTTGGACATCATCTACCTTATGTTTCAAGACAGGGTTTCTTCACTGACCTCAAACTCCTCTAACAGCTGGGCTTGTTGGTCAGTGAGCTACAGGGATCCATCTATTGCTGCCTATCCACACACATACCACCACACCTGACTTTTTCTTTTAAATGTCTGTTCTCAGACTTGACCTTGGGTCTTTATGCTTCCCAAGGCAAGTACTTCCGTACTTCCTCAGCCCCTAGGAGCTTACAAAGGTTGTGGAAGTTAAATTTATCCCTCTTATTATTATTATGATTATGTGTGGGTGGGAGGGTGGGGTGGTCCTAGGGGTTGAATCCAGGGCCTCATGGATACCCTGTGAGCACTCTACCACTGAACCACATCATAAGTCCTTATTTCCTTCTTTTCTGTTAAAGTACCTTTAAGAGAAGTTGAGGATACAGATTTTGATGGGAAGAAATCTCCTTTGGAGACACCAGCACCTCGACGGTTTGCTCCTGTACCTGTTTCAAGAGATGAAAAAATATCAAAGAGGGAAGACCCTATAGAAGAAAAAGAAAATATGGAACTGTCAGGTTATAGAGGTGAGACACCAATTAGAATTAGTATCCACTTTTGTTATTAGTTTTCTTTAAATCTTTTTTTGACTTATTTACTTTTATCTTATATATGTATGAGTGTTTTGCCTGCATGTATATAAGTATACCATGTGCATGCAATGCATGTAGAAGTTAGATTGATCCACTGGAACTGGGATTACAGAAGTTGTTAGCTGCCATGTGGGTACTGGGAATTGAATCCGGGTTCTCTGCGGGAGCAGCCAATGCTCTTAATGGCTGAGCCCTCTCTCTAACCCCTAGTTGTTTTTCTTGTTACTGTGACCAAATACCTGAGCAGAAGCAACTTAAGGAATGGTGGGTTTGTTGTAGCTCATGGTGTAAGAAGGGATCCTGGGAAGGCATGGTGGGAGGAGCATGATGGTTGCTTGCCTGTTTGGTCACAGTGAATCTGCAGTCAGGAAGCTACAAGCAGACAGGAAGTGCAGTGAGGCTATAAAACCTCAGAGCCTGTTCCTAGTGATCCACTCTTTCTAGCAAGGCTCTACTTTGTATATTTCCTGCATGCATGTGAGTGCACTTGGTTGTGCAATGCCGCAGAGGTCAGAAGAGGGCTTTGAATTCCCCTGGAACTGGAATTAAAGATGGTTCGTGGCTGCTGTGTGGGTGCTGGGAATCAAACCCAGATCCTCTGCAAGAGCAGTCAGTGTTCTTAACTGCTGAGCTATCTCTCCAGCCCCTATATTGGTTTTAGGTATGAATTTCAGTAAAACTCAGGAAAATTAACATTTATCACCATGTTCAACTGGAAAAAGTGCTAAGGTATGAACCTAATAAAACACAAGACCTCTGTTATGGGAAATAATAGTATACTACAGAGCCTTAAAACCTTGCCATTTTAGTAGAAGTAAGTGAAAATACTAAGCTTTAGACCTTTATTCTTGAAATCATTTAAATGCATTCAAGCTAAGTTTTAAGAATTTAGAAAATGAAGCCAGGCATGGTGATGCATGTCTTTAATCCCAGCACTCAGGAGGCAGAGGCAGGTGGATCTCTGTGAGATTGAGGACAGCATGGTCCACATAGACAGCTCTGGGCCAGCTGGGGCTACAGGGAGACCCTGTCTTAAAAGACCAAAAAAAAAAAACAAAAAACAAAAAGCAAGGCTAATAGGAACATCCAGTTATTCAGTTATTGTTGGGAAGAAGCAAACTTCGTTTTTATGAATTTATTAAAGTAGTTCAATTTGATGATATTTGTGATGATAAAAACGTTACTGTCTCATATAGAGATAAACTTAACCTTTTTAACCTATATAATTGAAAATTTTGAACCTATAGTTTTTTGTTGTTTTCATTTTTGTTTTCTGAAACAGGGTCTCCTGTCGGATCGCTCTCCGACAGGTACGGCACAGGGAGAGAGGCCAGGACCAGCCTGTGTTCCTCTCTTAGGGGCTGAGTGGGATGGTGAGTCGGGAGTCTTGTCGAGACAGGAACTCACTTTATTGCGTCAGGCATTACCTTATATAGTTTAATCAAAAAGGGGTGTGGAAAAGGGGAGGGCAAAGGTGTATGTCATCTGGGGCAATGGCAGTGAGCCACTGGGAATTGGCCCAGACAGCTGTGATTAGGGAGAGGCAGTCTGAGGTTGGGCCCTGCTGAGTCACCTCCACAAGGAAGTGACCGGCCAGAGACAGGTCGCCAAACTTTAATCAGGCTCAGGAAGTTACAATAGGCCTCGTCATAAGTTATGCCACAATTATGAGGGTCCCAGAGACCCAACAGTCTCCCTGTAGCTCCAGCTGGCCTGGAACTCACTATGTAGACCAGGCTGGTCCCAATCTCACAAGAGATCTACCTGCCTCTATCTCCCAAGTGCTGATATTAAAGATGTGTATCACCACATCTGGCACAACTATAGTTTTCTTTTTTTTTTTTACAATTGTTGCTTTTATGGGATTAGGGGGTGAATATTTCATTTTACTTGACAAGTGTATTTATGTCTGCATTTTTGTCTCAGTGTATTTTTATTTATTTTTTTTTTTTTGTCTTTTTTTGAGACAGGGTCTCCCTGTAGCCCCAGCTGTCCTGGAACTCACTATGTAGACCAGGCTGGCCTTGAACTCACGGAGATCTGCCTGCCTCTGCCTCCCAAGTGCTGGGATTAAAGGCATGCACCACCACGCACGGCTTGTCTCAGTGTATTTTAAGGGGCAATAATTGAATCCCATAGGCTTGGTAATTTATAATGAAAGAGATTTGGCTCACTATTCTGGAAGTTCAATGGCATATGTTTGTATGAAAAGCTTGGTTTTATAGCACAGTCACTCCCTTGATAACCCACCAGTCCACTCAGGAGGAAAGAATCCAAATGACCCAATTACACTAGGAAGGCTCTCCCTTTCGAATACCATTAATATGTGACTTTGAGGATTGCATTTCCAACACAGAATTTAGTGAACACATGCAAAAACCATAGCAGTTATGGAGTGAATTGGAGAATCATGACAAGAGTGGTCATTCAGGCTAGTGTGCAAATGCACTTGAGATGGAGTTACGAAGGTGTAAACTAGTATTTATGTGGAGGTGACTCTGTTTCTTCTGTTATAGGAAATGTAAGACTGCTGGAACAAATACTGAATAGTAACGATTCTTTAACAAGAAAAAGTGAATCATCAGACATAACCTCACTAACCAGGTCAAAAATGGGATGGAATTCTGAGAAAAGAGAGAGGTAAAAGCAGGAGACTGAAACAAAGCTGGACTGGAAAGGGCTTTGTTTAGAGTTCTAAATTTCTTTCAGGAATTTAATGTTGACACTGCTTTTGAAAATCTTTGCTTATTTACTGTTTTCTGTTTATGTTTTATGTGTATGAGTGTATTGCCTGCATGTATGTGAGTGCACCCGTGTTTTACAATGCCATGGTCAGAAGAGGGCTTTGGATTCCCTTGGAACTGGAGTTAATGATGGTTCTTAGCTGCCATGTGGGTGCTGGGAATCGAACCCAAGTCCTCTGCAAGACCAGTCAGTGCTCTTAACCGCTGAGCCATCTCTCCAGCCCCTTTATGTGTATGAGTGTATTGCCTGCATGTATGTGAGTGCACCCGTGTTTTACAATGCCATGGTCAGAAGAGGGCTTTGGATTCCCTTGGAACTGGAGTTAATGATGGTTCTTAGCTGCCATGTGGGTGCTGGGAATCGAACCCAAGTCCTCTGCAAGACCAGTCAGTGCTCTTAACCGCTGAGCCATCTCTCCAGCCCCGATATGTAGATTTATATGAAGGTAGGCCTGGAGAAAGTAGGTTGAGGGTGTAGAATAAACAGTGTTAACCCTGAGAATGATGATCCATGAAGTTAAGTGATGGATGTATGAAAGTTCAATTGTGCTCTATCTCTACTGTTGTATATTTAAAATTTTGCATAATTTTTTTGGGGGGCCTTGTGGTACAGCTTAATGATAGTAGAGTGCTTGCCAGGTGTGTACAAGGCCCTGGCTTAAATCCTCAGCCATGAAAAAACATTCTTTTAAATCAAGTAAAACTAGGGCAGAAGTGATGACTTAATGGTTAAGAGCATTGGCTACTCATCCAGAGGATGGGCGTTCAGTTCCCAGAACCCATATATTGGCTAACAACTGTCATTAACTCCAGTTCCAGGGGATCCGATGCCCTCTTCTGGTCTCCATGGGCATTGCAAACAAGAGTGCACTTGTATACATGCAGGCTAAACTCTCATACACATAAAACAAAAAAACTTTTAAAAACTAAATAAACCTGAGCCAGGTGTGGTGGTGCATGCCTGTAGTCCCAGCACTTGGGAGGCAGAGGCAGGCAGATCTCTGTGAGTTCAAGGCCAGCCTGGTCTACATAGTGAGTTCCAGGCCATCTGGGGCTACAGGGAGACCCTGTCTCAAAAAGACCAAAAAAAACCCTAAATAAACCTTGGCCATGATAATTACATTTAACTTTAATGTGAGGAAAACTTTAAAAGGCCACAATTTGAGTACTTTTATTTGGAAATGTTGTGCAGTTTAAATTTTTTTACATTAATGTAAGTCTTACTTTTGTCATGTTGCTGTGTGGTTTCTGTACGTCTTGCGACTTTTTACTTTATTATCCTCCATTACTGCCTTTTTTCCTATTACCTATTTTTTAGTATACCATTTTCATTTATTTGTTGGTTCCTTTGCTACATTTTTTGTTGTTTTTTTCCTCAGAATATTTTACATTTTATTTTATGAGTATGAGTATGAGTATATTGCCTGCATGTATGTAAGTGTATGCGTGTTGTGCAATGCCCTTAGAGGTCTTAACTGCTGAGCCACTTCTCCAGTTCCTGTTGTTTTTCTTTTCTTTTCTAATGTATTATTTATTATTTTTTTATGTGTATGAGTATATTGCCTGCATGTATGTGAGTGTACCTGTGTTGTGCAATGTCATGGAGGTCAGAAGAGGGCTTTGGATTCCCTGGAACTGGAGTTAAGGATGGTTCGTAGCTGCCATGTGGGTGCTGGGAATCGAACCCGGGTTCTCTGCAAGAGCAGTCAGTGCTCTTAACCACTGAGCCATCTCTCCAGCCCCCCTGTTGTTTTTCTAATGGATGCCCCAGCAATTGCAATTGACATACTAATTTAAAATTATCTGGTTCAGGTTGATATTCATTTAATTTCAACACATTAAACATTGTTAATCCTTTCTGCTATTATGAACAGGTACTGTTTTTATACATTATGAGACCAACCAGCTGAGACCAACTTGACAGCTATATACAGCTGTCTTTAAAAATAGATAGAAAAACTTACAAAGCACAGATATTTATGTTTGCCATTATAGTTTACCTTTGTCAGTACTGTTTATTTCTTTAAATAGATTCATGTTAGAGTCTAGTGTCTTTTTCTTTCACCATGAAGGACTTTCATTGGTATCTCTTGCAGGTTTTGCTCACTTAACAATGAATTCTATTGATTTTTGTTTATGTAGGATGGTCTTTAACTTACTTATGTTTTTGCTTGAACAGAAATTATTTTTTCACATTAGTAGAAGCTGCAAGTTCCAAGAAGAAGGTGAAATAGGGCTACCCCCTTCTATGGTGTCTTCCCTCGACTTGCAGATGACTTCCCTTCTGTGCTTACAGGTGTTTGGTGTCCTCTCAAAGGATAGTTTTCTAGTACTTTTGGTTGACATTTTTTCTTTCAGTGTGTTGTGCATTCATTGCATCCTGGATAGTTACTGGAGAGAATCCAGCTGTTAATCTTCTTAAGGATTTTTTTGTATATAATGAGTCATTTTCTTTTGCTACTCTTAAGATTTTCTCTTTGTCTTCAGCTTGTGTGTGTGTGTGTGTGTGTGTGTGTGTGTGTGTGTTTGTGGCTGCATGTGTGATGTGTCTAAGAATGGATGTGCTTTTTTGAATTTTTAATTTTTTATTGAATTTTTGTGTAGTTAATACAGAACATCTTTTTAAATTTTTATTTATATTTATTTTATATGTATGAGTGTTATGCCTGCCTATGCGTAAGTGCACCTGTGTCACGCAATGCCCGTGGAAGCCAGAAGAGGGCATCTGATCCTCTGGAACTGGAGTTGTGGATCGTTGTTAACCACTATATGGGTGCTGGGATTGAACCTGGATCTTCTGCAAGAACAGCCAGTACTCTTAACCACTGAGCCATCTCTCCAGCCCCCACACAGAACATCTTAATCAACTTTATACCACCTTTCCCCAGTGGCACCTACTTGTAGTCCCCTCCCCCTGACCCACTGGAATTCATACATTCTGTCATTTGTGTTAAGGCCTATCATGTCAAGTTAGTGTCCCCAGACGTCCCTTAGTGCAAGTTCATCCACTGAGTTCTAGTCAGCCTATCTAGAGTCCCTCCCTTTAAGAAGATCAGCTCTTCCTCATCCAGCAGTAATCAGCTGCCAATAATTCTTTGACGGAGATTAGGGCCTGTTGTTCATTTCCACAGTTCTGTCCTGGGTTTTTGTCTGCTTGAGTTTTCATGGGTCTTGTGCATGCTGACACCATTGCTGTAGGTTCATAAGAGAAGGGTCCCAAGAGCCTGTAGGACTATTTCTATATGGTCATGTACCTTCTCCCTGGCTCTTACACTCTTTCAGCCCTGTATGGATAGATTTTAATATAGGAATCCTGTCCAAGGACCCACACTCTGAGGACTTTTATTCTTTATGTTTTAGCCATTTGTGACCTTGTGCATTCCTGGCCCTCTGTTGCATCAGGAAGCTTCATTGATGAGAATTGAAAGATGCATTAGTGTTCTCTTTATCCCTTGTTCTATATTCTGTGAGCCTTAGGTGTGGAGGTTGCATCTTAGATGTGCCACTTAGGCTTGGGCAGGTCACAATCTCTGTGTATAGTTACTGGTGAGACTCCAGCTGTTAATCTTATTGACTATCTGGGGTCTTTTGTGCTTCCATATGAATTTTAGGATTTTTTTTTCTAATTCTGTGACGTATACCATGGGCATTTTGATTGGGATTGCATTGAATCTATATATTGCTTTTGGGAGGATGGTTATTTTCACAACATTAATTCTTTAATATTTCACCAATTAATTCCATGGGCATGGGAGGTCCTTCCATCTTCTGTTGTCTTCCTCAATTTCTTTCTTTAAAGATTTAAAATTTTTGTTGTAGAGATCTTTGATATTTTGGTCAGGTTTATTCCAAGAATTTCTTTTTTTATCGTAAATGGGAAGGTTTCCCTGTACTCTTTCTCCAATTGCTTGTTATTGGTATACAGAAAGGCTACTGATTTTTGTCAATTAATTTTGTAACCTTCCACTTTACTGAAAGTGTTAATCAACGCTAGGAGTTTCCAGTGGAATTTTTGGGATTTCTTAGGTATCGTATCATATCATCAGCAAAAAAGGGATAATTTGACCTCTTCTTTTCCAATTAGTACTCCTTTAATTTCCTTCTCTTTTCTTCTTGCTCTAGCAAGAGTTTCAAGCACTATACTAAAAAGGAGTGGAGATAGTGGACATCCTTGTCTGGGTCCTAATTTTAATGGGAGTGCTTCTAGTTTTTTTTACATTTAGAATGATGCTGGCTGTGAGTTTATTGTATATAGCTTTGACTATGTGAGGTATTTTCCCTCCAATTCAATTCCCTTAGAACTTTTATCATGAATCCATGCTGAATTTTGTCAAAGGCCTTTTCTGCATCTATTGATATGACCATGTGATTTTTGTCTTTGAGTACATTTAGATGATTTATGACGTTTATTGACTTGCATATATTGAACCATCCCTGCATCTCTGGAATAAAGCCTGCTTGATCATGGTGGATGATCTTTTTGATGTGTGGCTGTATGCTGTTTCCCTTTCTTCCCCCAAACAGTTCTTCCTTCCACTTTCCACTTTCATCATATATTCCATCTTTGTCTCCCTTCTTCCCTTCCCAGATCTTTTCCTTTTTTCTCACGGTTCCCTTTCTACTCTCCTCTCTCTCTCTCTCTCTCTCTCTCTCTCTCTCTCTCTCTCTCTCTCACACACACACACACACAGGCATACACACATACACACACGTACACATGTACATACACATACACATAGACATAGATATACATATACACAATTAAAAATTTTCATATGAGAAAGTATGTCTTATTTGTCTTTCTGAGCATGGCTTATTTTACTTAGCATAATGGTCTCTAGTTAATAATGGCTATCTGGAGGGGCTGGAGAGATGGCTCAGTGGTTAAGAACACTGGCTGCTCTTTTAGAGGATCTGGGTTTAATTGTCAGCACACACGTGGCAGCTAACAACCATCCGTAACTCCATTCCAGGTGATTCCACACTCTCTTCTGACCTCTGTGGGCAATGCCATGCAGCTTGCTCTCCTGACTCACAGTCAGCTAATTTTCTTTAATAAGTTCTTGGCTTGTTGCAAGGCTTTCGTTAATTTCTAGAGTTCTGCAAACAGTTGGTGTTGATGAATTTTGTTGGTGTTGTCATGGCTCTGTGGAGTTGCAGATTTTAAGAGTTTTTCCTCCACTCTTCTCTGAAGTGCTCCTTGTATCTTGTAAACAAGACCTTTCTCTGCTCTTTTCCTGCTGCACTTAAATATTTTGGATCAAATTTTTTTTCTTGTGATTTTCTGTGTTTGTTGTATTTTAGTACGATGTCATTTAGCAATATATACCTAAGAATGTATTGTATTCATGTATCAAATACTTACTGAATTTATACTAATTTTTCTTCCCATCTTTTGTAGCACCGAGACTCTCCCTTCACAGAGATTTCCTTCCTATGAAGAGTTAGGAGCAGCTAATGTAATGACACAGAAGCATGATGGTGTTGTTCATGGTCTTGGTTTAAAGAAGAAAGAAAGAAATGGCACATTCCAGGTATGGTGGGAATTAAAAAGTTGATGATTCTTAAGGTTTGAATTATGAAAGAAGGACTGGGGATTAGCTCAGTGGATAGAGTACTTGCCTAGCATTCATGAAGCTCTGGCTTTATTCTCCAGCACTGCATAAACCTGGGCATGCTGGTGCACACCTGTAATCTCAGCACTAGGGAGGTAGAGGCAGGAGAATCAGAAACTCAAGGTTATCCTGGCCTACATAGGGAATTTGAATGCAACCTGGGCTACATAAGACCCTGTCTCAAAAGACTAAACAAAAAATATGAAGGAATAAAAAAGTCATCAAGACAGAATTCAGAAGGGTGAAGGTAAAGCACTGAAAAAGATGTTAGTCAAATATGTTTCCTTTACAAAAAAATTTCAGAAGCCTTTACTAAGCCTTTACTAAGTGATTTCCACTTTCAGTTCTTGCTACATGGCCATTTCTGGCTCTCTACTTCTTTTTCTATTGTTGTGGGGTGCTTCACCAGAGAAGATCACTCAGACAAAGTTTTGCTGAATGAAGGTCGTTACTGGCCAGGGCTACTACACAAGGGTGTTGGAACCCAGGTGTGTAGCACTAAGCCATCTCTAGGGTAAGCTTTTATACAGAGAAACTGTACCCAGGGGTGAAAAGTTTAAGTTCCCAAGCTTATAGGTGGAGAGCCCCGTTAACAATGTCTATTCTATTAAGTAACAATTGCTATTTTGCAGAAGCCAGTCAAGCATAACCTACAGAAGCCATAAATCTGCAGTTAGCAGGTACACTCTGGGACACTGTGACCTGTTCCCAAGACAACTGTGGTCTAGCTGACATGTGTTCCCATACCCTGGGCCAACTGCCTGATAATTCAGAGACTAGACTCAGCCTAAACCTAAACATGGCATAGCTATGGTCAAGAAGGTGCCCTATTACACATATATATGTGTGTGTGTGTGTGTGTGTGTGTGTGTGTGTACATGTGTAAATATTTGTGCACATGAGTGTACTGCCCACAAAGGCCAGAGGAGATTGTCAGATCACCTGGAACTAGAATCATAGGTGGTTGTAAGTTACCAAATGTGTGTGCTGGGAATCAAACTAGGGTTCTCTACAAGATCAGTGTGCATTCTTAACCACTGTGCCATCTCTCCAGCCACTCTTTTAGTTTTGTACCTGGGTACAGCTATCCTCCTGTTTCTTGCCTCCTGGGTGCAGGAATCATCGCAGTGGGCCACTACACCTGGTCTTGACTTTCCAATTTGTAGTGGACAGTAAGAAAGAAAGGGAGATCTGCTTTGGATTAAAGATTTATTTTTATTTTTTGTTTACGTATTTATGTGTGTCTTTATACATGTATGCCACATGTGTGTGGGTGCCTGTAGAGTCCAGAAGAGGGCATTGGTTCCTATTGTGAGCTGCCCAGTATGGGTGTTGGGAACTGAACTTAGGTCTTCTGGAAGAACAGCAAGAACTCTCTTTTTTCAATACAAGTCAATCTTTATTGAAAACTGCAGTATTACTATGTAACAATTCCTGTCATAAGATTCTTTGATGGATTTTAAATCCAAGCTCATCTACTAATCAGATTGCATAAAAAATTAAAATAGTGTGAATTTACACCTAATAGAACTAGCTCAAGATGAACTCTCTGTGCATTCATTTGTATTGGTGTAAGTTCAGCGAAGAGACCAGGGCTGCCTTTAACACCAGAAGACAATGCTGACTTAAGCTTAAGCAGCAAACAGTCTTAACCATGAGCCATCTTTCCAGCCCTCTTCTTTGGATTATAATAACCAGTGAGAGTTTAGCATGGTGAAGTTTCTGTCTTTTTTTTTTCTTTTAAGCCAAAACAATCTCCAATTATCTTGAGGCTTTCAAATCTTCCACAGAATTCTGTTAAGCTTCAGACAGCTGATACAAAATCTGTGTTGAAAGATGCTGAGAAGATTTTGAGAGGTGTACAAAATAATAAAAAAGTACTAGAAGAAAACTTGGAAGCAATTATTCATGCAAAAGATGGAGCTGCTATGTATTCATTTATCAACGCCTTATCCAATAGGTAAGGCAGGATGTGGCATCACAAAGTTACTATGAAGCTGTCAGTTCTACTTTCTTAGTTTCTTTTTCTAAGCTCTCACTTTGCTTGTGCTTTCATATTTAGAAAAGACCCCTTATTGCCTTTGAAGATGTGGAAATACTGCTTCTTACCACTGACTGTTGTTTTTCATTACATTTTTCCCTCTTTTTTTTTTTTTTGAGACAGGGTCTCTCTGTAGCCCCAGCTGACCTGGAACTTGCTGTATAGACCAGGCTGGCCTTGAACTCACAGATATCCACCTTCCTCTGCCTCCTGAGAGTTGGGACTAAATGCATGTGCCACCATGCCTAGCCGCCGCCTTTTTTTTTTTTTTTTTTTAATTATTTTATTTGTGTGAGTGTTTTGCCTGCATGCAAGTACACTGTGTGCATGCAGTGCCTGCCGAGACCAGAAGAAAGCATTGTTTCCCCTGGAACTGGAGTGAGGAATGGTTGGTAGCCACCACGTGAGTGTTCGGAACTGAACCTGGGTCTCTGGAAGAGCAGTCAGTGCTCTTAACCACTGAGCCATCTCTCCAGCTCATATTGCCCTCTTACTGATACTTAATTTCTTTTAGTTCTTTTCAAACATTTTTTCCTTCAAACATTTAATGAAAACTAATACCATTACTTTTTCTTTTTTTAATGAAGGATGTTGGGTTACAAAGTAGATTTAAATCTAGAAAAGACATTCATATCTGATCCTTCTCAATACTTTAAGGCTAATTTAAGAAAGTTTCTTTTTCTCTTTTGTAGGGAGATGTCAGAGAAAATTAGAATTAGAAAGAAAGTAGATGAGTGGATTAAAATCATTTCAGCAGAAATTCAGGTATGTTTTGTAAAAAGAACTGAAATTAAATTAATTCTTAGAATACAACATAAATTTCAGCTTATTAGTATGGTTGTTCTTAAAATAGTCCTTACATATAAGTTTACTTATAATCCTTTTTTGGGGGGGCGGGGCTTCTTTTTGAGACAGGATCTGTCTCCCTGTAGCCACAGCTGGCCTGAAACTATGTAGACCAGGCTGGCCTTGATCTCACAGAGATCTACCTGCTTCTGCCTCCATAGTGCTGGGATTAAAGGTGTCTGCCATCACTCTCAGCTCTTATAATTCTTTTCCCCCCACTTTTTTCAGTACTGGAGATTGAACCTAGGGCTACTCTCATGGTAGGCAGTGCTCTACCACTAAGTTGATCCTTTACCTGCTTTTTAGGTTTTTTTTTTTTTCCCCACTAAATTTCCCAGGCTGGCCTAAAGGATAGGGTACATCTTCAGATGTCAAAAAGTCTGGGAGTTATTTTTCCTAGGTGATCAGTAATAGGGAGTGCTTTAAAATTTTATGTATTTGAAGGCACAGAACGAGACATGCCAACCTGTTATTTTTATCTCAGAATGCAAGGTGATTTTTTTTCCCTAAGGTGTGCTTTCATGTTTACTCACAGTGGTAGGGAGGTAAAATGTCAGCTCTGCTTCTGCAGCAGCAAACATGGAATATATATCTTAAACTTTGTTGCGTAGAGATGTGTATCTCTAATGCAGTTATAAAGAATTTATACTTGTCACTATATAACTCACCAGAAAAAAAAGTTGAAGTAAGAGTCAAAAGACTGGGAATCCAGTTCTGACTCTATAGCCAACTGGCAATATGTGTCCCTTGACCACTATTAATCCTGTGTGAAATGTTTGTTTTAATTTTCAAATAACTTCAATTTACAAATTTTCATTTCAGAGTTTTATTACAAATGACTTGCTTGTTTTGAAATTTTTTTTTTATGTTTGTATTTCTAAAGTTACTAAATTCATATGATTCAAACATCAAAAGGTATGAAAATGCTTTTAACACCTCTCTCCTCCCTGTCCATCTCCTGTTCCCCATACTCCATAAAATACTAGTCTTTCTAGTTTTAGGCTTGCTTTCTTTATTGAGATAGGATGTCTCTGTGCAGCCCAGGGGGCCTTCACCTGGAGCTCTTCCTCCTGGAATTATAAGTGTGTACAACAGTGCCTTGTGTCTTCCTAGGTTTTGGTTTATTCTTCCAGAGAAATAGTTTTTTCATGTCGTAAGCTAATGTCCTTTATGTTATTTTATTTATTTATTTATTTATTTATTTATTTTTAATTAATTTATTATTTTTTTTAAATTTTTTTTTATTTTCCAGGCAGCAGCTCAGAAACAGCCTCTGGATTTCAGCAGTGTAACTCAGATGGCACGTTGGGCCATCAGCGCTCAATGTCCTTTACTTTTAAAGCATTTTAAATTACTATATGATACTTACATAAACAACAAAAATAAATGCCAATGTTTTCTAGTGTGAAAATTTTTCTGTTTATATTGGTTTTAAGTAATTTTAATCTTGGTTACCTTAGGAAGAACTTACAAGAAAAGATTATGAACAAGAGAGATTTGATCTGAAGAGTCAAAGGACCAGGAAAGCTCAGAGTCTGAGTAGAGCTATTAAAACCAACACACAAGACACACCTGTGAACAAATCTATAATTCCAAGGCAGCATTCTCAAAAACAAATACAGGAGCGTTTTAGAAGTCCACCTATAAGGAGCGTGCCTGCCTCAACTTCACAGAAAGAGAAGAAAGAGGTAAGATCTTAGTCTCATCTGTGGCATAAATGTTGCATTGTGCTGATCATTTCCTTAAAGACACAAATAATGAAGTGAATGTGAAGACGTTTTTAAAATATGAAGAACTATATAAACATAAACTAGGCGCATACACCTCTGACTATTTAAGACTTGGACCTATAATGTGAAAGCCCACGAAATCCGTACGTTCATCTAAAACCTCATTCTTAGTTGTTTTTTTTTTTTCTTTTGTGTTTTGCTTTTTTGTTAAGAAATAGGGTCTTATTTTGTTGCCCAAGTTATCCTCAAACTCCTGAACTCAGACAGAATTCCTGCCTTAACCTCCCAAGTAGCTTTGTGACAGGCACACAACATTATGTCCAACTTTATTTATTTATTTGTTATTTTTATTTTATGTGTATGAGTATATTGCCTACATGTAGGTAGATGTACCAATGTCATCCAATGCCTGTAGAGGTCAAAAGAGGGCATCAGATTCCCTCGAACTGGAGTTATAGATGGTTGTTAGCCACCATCTGTGGGTGCTGGGAATTGAACCCAGGTCCTCTGCAAGAGCATTCAGTACTCTTAACTGCTAGCCATCTCTCCAGCCAGCTTTATTTAAAAATTTAAAAAAATTTGTTGAGAATTTCAAACATGAATATTATATTTGCATTATTTCCACCTTTCCTAGTCCCCCTCCAACTCCTCCTGTGTCTCCCCCTCACAGTTTCTTGTCTTCTTTGATTATTGTTATACACACACACATAGACATTTATAAATATACATCTATAGATATAATGCTCTGAATCCATTCAGTGGTACTAGTGTGTACCTGTGTTTAGGGATGCCCATTTTTGATTAGATAGTCTCTCAGAGAGCTAGTCCCTGGAGAAAACCGATTCTCTCTCCTTCAGCCTTCATTGATTGCCTTTAGTTCATTATCTGGAGGTGGGACCCTGTGAAATGTCCCTCATTCAAACTGACATGTCCACTGGTTTTGTCATTATGCAGATCTTGTTAGACCACCACACTGTGGAGATTTCAGTGGTGTAACTTCCCCATCATGTTTATAATGCATTAACTACCAGCTGAGGTCTTGCCCCCCCTTACATTCTTTTTACCCCCTCTTCCATGATGTCGCCTGAGCCTTGGGTGTAGAGGTTGCATTGTAGATATGTCACTTAGGGCTGCATGCCCAGCTCTAGAGCTCATACTTACACTCACAGTATTCAGTTACACTAGGTGTATCTAAAGACTGTCTAGATATCTGTTATTAGTAAAAATTCATGTTACTCAAAAGTGTGTTCGTCTTTGTGTTTATTTTAAATTTAATAAATTATTTTTAATTCCTTGTGAGCTCAAAGCATGGTGCTAGATACTTGGAGAGGAATTTTCCATCTCAGGTATTTTTTTTTTCCCCAACTGCTCTAACTGTGCTTTTTCTTTAAATGTTAAGCATAGATTGTTGAGCAGAGTAGTAAAGAATCTAAAGAATCTAATTCAGTGCTTGGCACTTAGTGCTTAATAATGCTGTCTTTCTGTGACATTTTGATTATGGAGTCAGGAGTTACAAAGTCATTTAAAGACTAAGTTTATTATATTTTATTGTATTTAAATATAATACATGTGTAAAGTGTATTTAAATGTTGCTTTGGTGTTGAACATATACTTAGTAATGTAAAAACTTTCATGTTTCCTAGGTGGGTGATTTACTATTTTCATAGTGAGGTTGATATTTTTTGTGTACTTAGGGGCTTTTGAAATCAACCACAGTTAAACAAGATGAGGCTTACATGTTACAAGTATATGGGAAGCCCGTTTATCAAGGCCACCGCAGCACTCTTAAAAAAGGACCTTATCTCAGATTCAGTTCTCCATCTCCTAAGATCAGACCACAGAGACCCAAAGTGATAGAACGAGTTAAAGGTAAGGAGCCTGTTTTTTTTTTTTAACCACATTATTTCTAGTATCAGCTTAATATGTAATATTTTCTCGTTTGCTTTTTAAAAAATAATTATACATGCAGTTCAATTTATAATGCATAGGAGTGGAAGAAGAAATAGACCAGAAAGTCAAGATTACATCTGCTATTTACTGTTGCAAAGTGTATATGGATACTTTTGCAGTTTTGTTTATTACCAAAAACTCTTAGATAGCAAAGATGACAACTTTTTATTGCTTTTTTTCCCCCCACACATTCAGGATTTTTATTTAAATTTCTAGCAGACAGCTTATCCTTGCCCCTCACCCTTTCCTGCAAGTTAGTGTGACAATTCTCCATAACAAACTACTTAAAGAGAAGCAGTCAAAATGGAACAAAGTAGCAAAATCAAAACAAAACAAAAGGAAAAGAACAAAACAGAAAACAAAGTACTGCTGCATTAAAACCAACACTTACCAACAATACCCAAATAAACAGGCACTCTCTGTTGATCTACGGAACAGTGTTTATGGTGCAGGCAGAGCCATGGTCTGTCGATTCCTCAAGCTGGATGGTGGAGGCTCATTCCTCACGTTGTCCAGAGACTCTGGATCGGGGACTCTAGGGTCTTGAAATCCCAATTGTCATGGTTCCATCAATGCCAGAAATGCAAAATTTAGACAATCTTGTGTGTCCACCTTATAAATAGACACTTGAGTGATGCTTTCCTGGAGCAGTGTCTCTGTCCTGGTTGTGGTCCTCTTGCCCTTGTTGCACAAGAACCCCATGGGGACAGGATGTGCCGGATGCTCTTTTCTGGAATGTCTAGCTTGGAGATAAAGGTAAAGCAGCCACAGCTATAGTTAAAGAGCATTGGGCAGAAGTTGTGGTCAACAGCGAGACAAATGACACACTCAGGAGTGGCAGGACTCAATTTTCAGAGTTGAGACCTGCATGCTGCTCAAAGCTTCAGGAACCAACACGGTGCTGTCATGGCTGACCTAGGCCAGGCATTCCCACTGGTAGAGAAGCTGACCACATGCACCCAGCCTCTAGTGCTGCTTCCCCCAAACTCAGACCTCAGCTGACCAAAAGACATTTTGCTGTCCCAGGGGTTGCTGACTGGCTTTTCATCCACTTCTTTTATGTAGGCAGAGAACAGTCTGCATTTGAAATCCCATGAGCCTTCAGCCAGCAAAACATTGTTGGGATGCCAGTCCAAGCTAAAGGCAGTGGAACTTTTTAATGTGCCTGCTTACCTACCAGTCATTTTTAGACTTGAAGTAACAAACAGATATGATCTGGGCTTCACTCCTCATAGCAAACTTGTTACCTAGTGGGACCTCTTCACAAAAGTGACTCTGGGATTAACCCTTAGGATCACCAGGATTGGCTTCCAGATGCCGTCTTTCTGATCCCAGATGTAGGCCCCCATAAGTGAGATTCAGTCACTCTTAGGTGCCCAGTCAATATCTGCAATGTGTCAGATGGCTCCTTGAGTTCATGTCCTTTTACCTGCTGCTTCAGTTCTTGTAGATGTGCACTTTGTGATCTTCTGGCTAAGGGTTTATAGTGTGAGTCCAGTTCCAGGTGTGGCAGGTGACTGGCTCTAGTTGAAATGCTTTGTGGCTTTTTTATACAATTAAAACGTTTTCATTTCTCACTATGTGTTTTGACTCGTGTCAACCATTTCATAGGTATTTGAATAGAACTTAGTAAAATATTGAGTCTGTTAATTTTGGGTACATTTTTCAAGTTTCTCAGCTTATAGCTTAGAAATCCATAGCTTTGTTAACAATATAATTAGTGGATATCAACCCATTTTCCTTTCTTATCCCTTCTAGAAGTTAGAGCTGTGGCAGTTGCTTTAGTTTCCTTTCCTTTGTAATTATTAGTTGATCATGTTGGATATCAGGCTATCTACAAACCCTTACTATTTTTGTAAGCCATTTAACTGTGAATGTATTTACCATAATGTTTTCTCTTAGATATTGGAGAATTATTGTTAAAATTATATTTGGGATTTTGAAAGCTTTCCAACATAGTATCTTAAGATTTAAAACACTTCTAGATCCTCAAATAACTTAAAAAATTCTTATTTATGTATGTGTATGTGCCTTCATGAGCTTATGCTTACTACATGTGTACTTATGTCCATGGGAGCCAGAGGGTGTCACATCCTCTGGAGCTGGAGTTATAGTACATTGTGATCTGGGTTCTGGGAACCAAACTTAGGTCCCCTTTCTGAAAGAAGAGTAAACATTTTTAACTCCTGGGCCATCTCTCCAGCCCCACACCCCCAATAACTTTGCTGTTACCCTTTTAAGGTAAAAGTGAATGAGAGCCTATGCACATAATGATTGACCATAGCCTTGATACCTGCTGTTTTTCCTCTCTGTAGAGGAAAAGAAATTAATCTTTTCCTTAAGAGATAATCAGATTTTTGTTTTGTTTTATTTACATATTGTTTTTTGTTAAATATTTATTTTTATTTATATGTATGTGTTTTTATATGCCACATATGTGTGGGTGCCTGAGGAGGCCAAAATAGGGTATCAGATCCCCTGGATAGGTGGTTGTGAGCTGCCTAATGTGGGTGCTAGGAACCTAACAGGTTCTTTGAGAAAACAGCAAGTGCTCTAAACTGCTTGGCACTGAGCCTATCTCTCCAGCCCTGTTTTTTTGAGACAGGGTCTCCCTATAGCCCCAGCTAGCCTGGAACTTGCTTTGTAGACCAGGCTGCGCTGAATTTCATAGAGCTCCACCTACCTCTGCCTCCTGAGTGCTGGCATTAAAGGTATGCATGACTACACCCATCTCTCTCTCTCTCTCTTTTTTTTTTTTAAAGATATGATCTTGCTATTGTAGCACTGGCCAGGCTAGAACTCATGGCAGTCTTCCTGCCCCAGACTCCTGAGTGCTGGGTCACTATGCCTGGCAGATTAAGTTTTTAATAATTTAGAATATAATGTCTATGTAAATTGACATACTAGGGATAAAAATATATATATAATATTAGCTAGTGTAAAATTTAAATAACTATAGAATTAGATTAACTGTTCATAATTTCAAAGAATAAGGCTGGTTATTCAGAATTATGACATAAATGTAGATATAATGAGAGAATGGGGGAAGAATACTATTCCAAAAAGTGGTCATTAACCTTTTATATTATGGGGAAAAATTAATGAGTTTAAAGATAACACTGAGGCACATCTAGGTAAACAAACCTGACTTAATAGGCCTTAACATATATGATAGACTGCATGAAATCCAGTGGGGGCGGGCAGATAAGGATACAGATAGGGGAGGGGTTTAAATATGATTAAGATGTAATGTGCAAAAATTTGATAAAAATATGCGTTGGGAAAAAGAGATAGCTGAATATTCTTCAGAATCTTGATTCATTTTTCTAATCACCCTGTCTGTTATGTCACAGTAACTACACAAGTTCATAATCTCAGGGGCAGGCAAATGATGGTCTGTAAGTGACTGTGCTTCTGTATCATGAAAACAGCCACCAAACAAATGAGCATGGCTTTTTTTATTAGTAAAGCTCTATCTGAACATAGCTGTGCCCATTCATTTAGTGATGGCTGCTTTCATGACACAATAGCAGAGCTGAGTAGTTGAAGCCAAGAATACATGGCCACTAAGACCCAAGTGATTGCCATCGGGCCAGTTAGCAAGTTCACTAAACTCTGGTCTATATGGTATTTCTATTTGCAAACCCTATAGCCTTATTAAATTGAATGAAATCTTGCCATGAGGATGAGTTGTATTTCCAGGTAGATAGATAGTAGACATTCAATTTTTATTTATTTTATCATACATACTATATATATGTAATATGCATATATATATATATACATATATATATATATATATATATATATATATAAGTTCCAGCTGGCCTGGAACTTGCTATGTAGATCAGGCTGGCCTCTATTTCATAAAGATTCACCTGCCTCTGCCTCTAGAGCACTGGGATTAAAGGGTTGCACCACCACACCTGGCTCAAATAATATTTTCAAATATCTGCCACTGATGATTCTTACAGGCACTAAAGTCAAGTCAGCAAGAACACAAACTGAATTTTATGCAGTCAAACCTATGAAGATGGATTCTAAAATTCAGCAGCCCATTATTACACTACCTCCTGGTGATCAGCAATATTTGTTCAGCCCAAGTAGAGAAATGCCTACTATTTCGGGTACCCTGGAAGGTCATCTGATTCCTATGGCAATTCTTCTAGGTAAGAACCAGAAAAATATATGGGAGAAGTATTTTAATTATTTATTTATTAGTATTTTTTTTATGTCTATGAGGTTTTGCCTGTGTGTATGTAAGTGTAACTGTGTCATATAATGCCCACAGAGGGCAGAAGAGGGTTTTGGATCCTCTGGAACTGGAGTTAGAGGTGGTTGTTAGCCTCGATATGGGTGCTTGGGAACTGAACCCAGATCCTTTGCTAGATAGCCAGTGCTCTTAACCACTGAGCCATCTCTCCAGCCCCAAATTGGGGGAGTTTTCCTTATGAATAGTAACAGAACTTATAAAATGGTACTGACAGTCAGTTACCTACTGGTTGTTCTATGTGTTACTTGTATGTGGGGAGGGTTTCAGAATGTAGTTTATACTATGTAATAGCAATCTTGGAAACCCTAAAGTCTTCCTATAATATTGCTCACAGGAACTCTTCTTTTGGTACATTGCTGTAGTTGAAATAATTAATATGTCATTGACATACATAATTCAAGAAGTAGCCAGATGTAGTGGCACATGTATTTAATCCCAGCACTTAGGAGGTAGAGGCAGGTGGAGCTCTGTGAGTTCAAGCCCAACCTGATCTACATAATGAGCTCCAGGCCAGCAAGAGATACATTAGTGAGACCTATTTTTTTTTGAATAATTTATTTTTTATTCCA